ATTCCCCAATCTGTTCTGATATGCAGCCACACAAACACCTACACTGATACAAGCGGCTAGAAGAAAACTGCTCCCTTCAACAGCAGTGCTGGCTGAAAATGTAAATGAAACTTAAGACCTTCTGCTGTTTGCAGATCTTCTTACTAAAGTTAGCAAAGCAAAAGTTAGACTGAAAAACAGATTAGAGGCCAGGTTCAAAATCAGTACGAGACATAAGATAACTTTACATAAACTTTCAGATAAGTTCTTTATAGACTCTCAAAATTTTGTCCCAAATCACAAGCTGTTAGTCTCAAAACCAACTGTACTATTGGAAACAAAACCAATTTAAAAGTCAGTAATAGGTAAGAGAAACACATTTTAGATCTAATCTAAACTCATAAAAGCCAGTTAAGGAAATACAGCAAAGACAATAGTTGTAGGAAAGTTGGAAAACAAGGCCTTTAAATTACATGAACAAAATCCACCTTGGAGGCCCCAGGGAAAGCTTTTGGGCTGGTAAGATAAAGATTGAGATGGACAATTCTGCAATACTCCAGCAACCTTGTTCCCCAGATTTTCTCCAATGCACAAATACTCAAGCAAAAATGCTCCAGATATCTTATTTGCTTTGTTACCTTAATTTTAAGTATTAGCCACAGTATAATAACTTCCTTCTGAAAGGTTACCAGTCTGTTCATTTTTAAACAAGCTTTCCCATTTTTACTTAAAATATTAGAATAAATGCATTCTGGGTCAATACCATCCATCCATTACGTAAAAGTGTATTTAATGACCTTTCACTCTTAGTTTGATTTAATGAAATTAGATGTGCCCTAAGAAGATGGAATAAAGCCTATTTTTCAGAGCTGCAGATTTAAGACCTCCAAGCCAATAGGGATTATAAAATCAAAATAGCAAATTTATAGAAGCATAGCATCCTTTCTCTCAGCTCTGAGTTACTTCCAACTTAACTAAGTTCCTGAATGCAATTTAAAGGCAGGCTGGGATAGAAGTCTTCCTAATTAGCTAATCATTTTCATTCATAACACCTTATCTCAATTAAACATTTTTATACCTTCTCCTTACTCATGCTTTCTTCCAGATAATTCTAAAGGTGAGCCACTGTTGTCCTACTCTCTTCTGATCATCTTTTTAATAAAATTAATGATGGACAATTATGGATCTCTTCTTTTCTTGAGTTTGCAGGTAGCTATAAAGAAGGTGAACAGAGTTTAGAAAATAAACTTGACCAGTAAGTGAGTGTAGACATTTGAAAGCTTTCTCATTAAGCTTTCTAAGTGGTGACAAGAAGAACTAGTCAAGTAATACCAGCTACTTATACCACTTTTCTTTGTCAGTTAATTTAAATTCTTAAGTAAACAGATTAGATTGTTTACTAAGCAGAAGACAGGAGTTACTATTTATAGCAGCATGCAACAAACACAGTCCCACGATTTAAAGGCGACTCTTCTAAGTTTCAGGAAATATACTAAAAAATGGAACATTTAGTAAATTTATTCACACTGGTGCTTAAGAATGTGCCAAATTAGTACAATGACTTAAAAAAAATATATAAAGCCAATACTTAAATGGATGAACTATCATCTAATTTGCACCCCAACATTTTAGTCAGGATGACAAATATCATATAGTCCCCCAAAAATGTTTCTTTGTGTACTTCCATAAATTGTGCTTTATAGAGTTAGATCCTCCTCTCAAAAGTAATGTGAAATCTTTTGCTAACCTAAGCAGTAGGAAAGAATTTTGAATGTGAGCTCAACAAATCTACTGCTCTTTATATTGTGCCATGTAGTATTTAAATCATAAATAAGAATTATAATTAATATAGATTACTATAACCATTAATTTAAGTATATTATTAATACAATTAATAATTAAAATACTTTTACTGAGGAAAGAACAAGGTCCATGATCTGACTTATGACTAGTTAAATCAGTGCAAAGACACTAATGGGTCACAATGGATCACAATCTTAGTGGAAAGCAAGTCTCCAAACCGCAGTCATAGTTGGACCTTTGGGACCTTATTATTCAGAAGAGTAAAAATTCAGTATGATTATTTCTAACGTAAACACACATTCCTTTATTATACTACAGTTTCTCCTCTGAAAGTGAGTATTTAGAGTGGAGATTTCAGAAGGAAGGGTCTGGCTGAGTCATTTGATGTAGAAAAGCTCAGAAAAGTGGAGGTCCGCTGCAGTTTTATGATGGCACCCACCTCGCACAGTTAAAGTTTTATATTATTTGCCAACAGTAACAAGGATTGTTCTCTTGCCTCAGGGGCTCCCTTCCAATATTCCTAATGGCCAGGTACACACACATGCTAATTTATCATATGCTAATTTATCATCACAAAAACTATTGCATAGATGGTGACTTAACTGTACATATCAAACTGCTTTTTCTGTAATAGAGAGTTACATATGTTTAAGCAGACATTATGAGTCCAGGGATGTCCAAAGATGTAATCATGTTTGAAATTTAGCACAAGTATGAAATTTAGCTTGGCAATGCCTCAGACTGGATGTGACCTGCCAGCGTTTCCTCAGAACAGTATACAGCATAAATAGGATATTTTGAAAGCCATGCAAACAAGGAAGATAAAATGTGATCTTTGGGAAGACAGATGCAGGGAAGCATAAAATCATGAGGAAATGAGATACGCGTCAATCTTGTGAGCCATTTTTGCACATTTAGTACACTAATTGAGTTCAGGTAAGTTTATTACGTAGGACTTGAAAATTAAACCAAGCTAGGCTCAGCACGAGGAGCGTGTGAGACAAACACAGTGATTAAACGCTGTGGGTTTTCTGTTTTCCTAGGATGGGGGATGTGTGAAAGAGTATAAAGCCAGCAACAATTCCCGAGGGAAGCCTCGAATCAGTACAAAATATGGAAAAAAGAAAAGAGGAGGAAAAATAATCGAAGAAGGGGCGCAGAACTGCGCTGTCATAAGAAAATTAAACTCAAGCGGGGATGAGGATGGAAGACTGGAAAGTTAAACCCATGCGCTGAATGTAACCTCGCCGCCGCCGGCGGAGCCGCTCAGCTGAACGGGCCCTCCTGTCTCGGGCGGGACAGCACAGCCTCAGGAGGAACTAACTCAGGCTGGAAGGCAAGGGAGCCCGCTCCCTGACACCTCAATGGGCCTCACCGGCGGGAACGCGCCCTCCCGGGGCTCCGGGACGCTGAGGGAGGCCCCGGGCGCCTGTCGCCGCCCGCCCTGAGGGGAGCTCCCTCG